GATTGACACCCATCTTTCCAAAACGCCGCAAAAGGAGCTCACGTCCCCTCACCGGATGGCAATTTCCGCACGTAACAGTATGTAGCAGTAGGATTCTGACCACGGAGGCTGCAGCACGATTTCCCGTGTGGGCAGACATAGATACTCGGCCGCTGCTTAGTAAGCTAGATTTGTGATGACGTGCCACAGAGGCTCGATGCATCCGTACGATGCTGGGCAAACACCAACGGATGAAACGGGTGCTAAGGATTCATGCTACTTCTGGCAACTTTTCAACTACTGGCCCCTGAATGGCAAAGCGCTGATGCTCGAGCCTCATCATTACCATGTATTTCTTGCAGAGCACACTTTGGCTTGTTCCAAGTGCTTTTGTTTTCATGACGGAAAGCTTCGCCAAGGTCGATTGCCTCAGTCATCCCAGAAGCACAGGCGATGTCTGACAAGGAAGTGCGACAGGCGACGGAGGGATTAGCTTCGGCTGCTGCATCAACAGTCTCATCAGAGAGCTAACAATCAGTAGCAATGCTGAGCCACAGAGGAAAATACATGTGTCACGGTGTGAGAGCTCATTGTGAGCACCGTCGTGATCAGCGACAGCATCGTGATGTCGGCAGGGGAAAACTAGCTGGTGAAGCTGCTCAAACTACAAGCAAACACTCATGACGCTCGTCGTTTCAACAGGGCAGCTGCAATATCTTATGGTCATGACGATACGTACAATGATACAAAACGACGTCAGCTATCATTGAACACTGATCAAGGTGATACGCACTAAGTCCGCTCGAGTTTGTATGAAGCGAAGCCACCTCGATTCACTAGTCGCACAGCACATCTGACTAGCACGAACAAGACCGATATCTCGTAGCAGTAACACAAGCAGTGCCAACCAACTACCTATGCGAGACTAACCGTTCATGTAACATAGCTTCTGCGAGAAAGGTTCATTCTGAAGACGAACAGAAAATCTTATCATACTGCTATTAAGCTAGTAGGAAACTCTTAGTTGGTTAGCGGTACGGGTATGTCGTACTGAGTCGTACTGTGACTGAAAGTACCGGGCAGCAACAATACTTGTCTCCGCAATTTTGACAGTTGGAGTAGGTGGCAGGAGTACAGCGACGGCGCCGGTTAAGAAACAGTTAATTTCTCGTGAGGGGGGGCTCGATTTCTTATTTTTGAAGCGCACCTTTTTTTAGTAAAAAACACATGTCGGGACTTGAGCATACCTGGGATTTCTTAACTCAAATTTCTTAATTTGAAAAGGCTCCAAAATTAATTTAACCGCACAGAAAGCACAAGACTGAGAGGCTTGAGCCCGCAGCAGTTTCCCATCCAGCGCATGTTCTTATCCACTCGGGCATGCCAGGCTTTGTCATATCCAAACAAAAACCACCAAAATAAGAACTTGAGGGGTTCGACTTCTTAAATTTAAGAAATTGAGGGGCTCAATTTCCAATTTTGGGGTTTTCTGGCCGGCGCAAGAAACTGTCCAGCTTTTGGAATACGAAATCGAGTCCCTTAGTTTCTTGGTTCTCTTTTTTTGCGCGAACAAAACCGGCGAAGACAAAATGAGAAGAGCAGAATAAGAAATTGGCTCGCCGAGTCCAGGGTACTCTGGATTTCTGCTTTTCAAATTCCGCTAATTTTTCTGAAAAAAAAAAGTCGCACGGCTGTCCGAGGGGCTCAATTTCTTAAACCAGTGATTTCTTAAGCAGTGCTGTTGCTGTACATGGGTAGTTCTCTAAATTCGGATCTCTTCTAGGGTCCTGTTTTAAAGGGTGCCCCACTA